AGTAATAAATAATAAAGCTTAGGTATATAATATAATAAGCTTATAAATTAAAATAAATACTTAGTATTCTTTATAATAAATTAAGTAGCTAATAATAACTATAAAGGAAAAATTAAATAGGCTAGTAGTATTAAGTAAAAAAGTTTATTAGAGATTTAGTTATATTTAGAACTAGATTTTTAGTTAAATAAAGCTTTATTAAGCTATAAAGGTTTTAAATATAAAGGACCAAGCGGGCAGTGCTTCCCCTGTACATACCAGCAAGCCACGTGGCGAGCTTCACAGACTAAGTGTGCCGGAATCCCCATCGCCATGTCTTCATGATGTTCCATCGATGGGTTGAGACCGACTACCAGGGATACGGGGTGACCATCTTCGACCATCCATCAAATGACAATATCCGGATCGATGAGCTTGTTTATCATCATTGTTTGGAAGTCGTAGAGAACAAGATCAGGGAGGTCAAGCCAGTTTGGAAGGGACAATTTAAAAGGGCCAGCGAGAGGCTTATGGCACGGTTTGTCGATGACCCGGCACCAGACCTTCTCATGCAGGTCCTTGTCAGTGAGTGGACCTCCACCTACCTTTCCCCTGGTTATAAATCCACATGTCCTCTCAATTTGGGACAAGAATATTGGGATCAAAACAAGGAGGAAACCAGGGGATCTTCTATTGTCAGCTGTAGAATCGAGACTTGCTGGCACGGGAGGCTGATCATGAGCTCAATATGGCATTACTATGCTTCTGTTTCTAATTTGTACGAGCCACTCTTCAGAATCCATCTCCCCGTATTCTTCTATTCGGTTGTTCGCTTCTCAGGACAGTCCACGTGTGTCTCTGTATGGTTTTCCGTTACTGTGTTGACTGCAACCAGGTTAGCAGCTGACGGAATGGTAGTCTCGGGCGCCTTTTGGACAGCAGACTTCTGGGGCAATACCTGTTTGTCTCACGGGATTCCGAGTACGATATGTCTCTGAGGCAATTGAAGCATCACCCGAAACGTGGCATCGCCTCCTTGAATGATTCGCCAACCACAGGGGCAGCAGAAACCTTTTGCTCTTCGGAGTTGGAGGACTCTTGAGTATTTCCTTCACCATTGATATCCCACTTGCGGCGAAGCCAATCTCTGTAGGTCGCAGAGACTTGGGCCGTCGAGTCGGCTATTTCGGGTATGGTCTCTGACCAAGGCCACTTAGTAGCCTCGGTCAAAACCTTCCCGCGTTTGACTGTATGGTGTTAGTTCAAGTGACAAATATAGAGGAGGATACTACTTACGAATGTTGAACCAGACAAGGGCATCAACCTCATACTCGAAGTACTCATGGTTGACGGATAGGTGTCCCCGGGTGTCCAGTAACTGGCAAAACATCTCAACGCACTTCTCGCGAGCCTTCGCGACCCTGGCACTGTCCCAGACACCAAGGTGCATAAAGAAGGCATTCATGTGAGCGCGCCGAGCATCAAGATTGAGTGCATCAACCGCGGTGTGGTCGAAAGAACCAGAAGCCATTGGGTGTATGTTTGTGTGTGTGTGTCTGGAATGTGTACTTGCTTCGGTGTATGATGAAGCAAAAGAAAATTGGGGTCTAGAAATTCAAAGGAAAAGGCAATGCGGGGTTGCTGAGCCTTTACCTCCCTACTTGTTTGCAGAGTGTTTGCATCGAATTGCTTCCCGGCTAGCAGTGACTGGGGGTGGGTTATCTTCACGGACCGGCTTGACTGCCTTCAGTGGGCTTCAGTGGGCTTTAGTGGGCTTTAGTGGGCTTCAGTGATTGTTAGTGAATTTAGCGCCGGTTAGGAGATTTGAACACCTCCCCCAAGGTCGGCACGTACCTTTTTTTTACGCTCCTGGTTTTGTACCAAGTCAAGGCACGTACCGGGGTTAGGCCATTTTGACAGACGGGTTTCCAGTAAACTCCAGTAATTAAGAGCATATTTCGATACGTAAGAGTGACAAAGCGGCATGCAGAGGTAGATTTACTATCTCGGTTTAGTAATAATAAAGATAATTAAGTCTTAGGTAATTTCGATCTTAACCTAATTCCTAAGAATTATATATAATAGATTTCTAAACTAAATATTCTTAAAGGTAGTCTTACTCTCTTTTCTAGTTATTCTTTAGTATACCCTATACCTTTAGTTTATTACTTTTTTTAAAAGCAGTAAATAGCTTTAAAGATTTTATTATTAAAGAAACAAAATACTAACCTAAAGAAAGTTTTACTAAAGTAAAATAAGTAAAATAAGCTTATACTTAAAATATAAAAGCAGCTTAATAGCCTATAGTTTTAATTAAGTAAGCTATATTAAGATAAAAAAGTACTTACTTAAGATAATAATATATAAAAATAGCTAGAAATATATACCTCCCTTTACTTTACTATTATAACCCCTAATAATACTTTAAAAAGTCTAGAATTAGAAATATCTTCTTTTTAAAACCTTTTATATAATATTTATATAATAGATCTTTAGTATTTATCCTATAAGTTAAATATTCCTCTTAAATAACCTATACTAATAAAACTAAATTAAAGGTCTAATTAACTAGCTATAACTACCTAATATTAAGTTACTAATACTAAAATAAATAAAAGTAACTAAAGCTATACTTTTCCTTTAGAATTAGATTTTTACTAAGCCTTTTAATTTTAAAAAGGAATATATACTAATTAGTATAAATAGAAGTAAGTA